GATAGGACACATCCTTGACGCACACCCTTCCCAATTTTGAACACTTCCCAGTGTTTCCTTGCTCTGTTCTGACAACTGTCTCCTGGTCCAAGTATAAGTTTCACAATAGCACAATCAAGTATTCTGGGATTCCCATTCTTCTCAGAGTCAACCACAGTTTGCTGTGATACACACAGTTAAATGCCTTTTCATAGTCAATGAAACACAGATAGACATTCCTCTGGTACTCTCTGCTTTCAGCCAAGATCCATCTGACATAAGCTATAATATCTTTAGTGCCATGGCCTCTTCTAAACCCTGCCTCCACTTCAGGCAGTTCTCTGCTGATGTGCTGTTCCAGTCATTTTTGGATAATCTTCAGCAGAATCTTGCTTGTATGTGACATCAATGACACTGTTCAATAATTTCCACACTCTGTCCCAGATTTGAGATAAGGAAATCAGGCTTTACAAAGATTCAGTAATTTTCCCCATGGTCATACAGAACAGTGAAGTTGAGCCTCATGTACAGTTTTGTCTAACATCAAAGTTGATGTTTTTGAACAATTACATTTTGACTCTTTTTTCCCCATGACTAATTTATCATTTTGTACAATCTTACATTTTAATATCTATGGCATATGTCTTTTAGGCAATTTCAAGTAAAAAAATATCTAAGAGATAACTTTTTGTTTTCAATGATTCAATGATTTTTGTTTTCAACAATCTTTTGCAACATGCTACCTGCCAGTATTACTATAGGTATAGAAACTATGTGTATGACAATTAATAGCCCGGAACAGGACGAGTGTTACAAAGGGAACCAGAGGAGGTGGAAGTAGGAGAGTGTGCATGAAGGAAGGAAACCAATCACTTTGTAAATCTTTACCAAGATTTAAAGAAAAGATAAACACACACACACACACACACACACACACACACACCCCTCAAACTAAGATAGACTGACACAGTGGCAGTAAGCATGGGCTAGAACAAGTCAGAGATTGTGAGGACAACACAGGATTGGACAAGAACTAATCAGTTGTTCAAAAGGTTGCTATGGATCATAGTTGATTCTAGGACACATAACAACTACAATGAATAAGACTAAGACAGAAAAGCTCAAGAGTGGGATTCATCCTTTGGACTCAAATGTCCCTGCATTGAGAACCTCCTAGTCTCAGAAGAAGATAGATGCCATGATCCCTAAGGATCCCCAATTCATGTGAACTTATAGAGGCTGAGAGGAGACAAGGATCTTCAGAACCTGACTAGGTTTGAGTAGGTCTGACCTTGGCCTTCTGAGTAGGTCTGATCTAGGCCTTCTCTGGGTCTGGCAGTCTGAACTTGGCCTTCTAACCCACTAATCTGTGAAAAAATAAGTTTGCTTGTTAAAGATATCTACTTGTGGTATTTATGTTATAACAGCACTAGATAATTAAGACAGATGTCTGAATTTAATGTTTTGCAGGAGGCGCTAGTATGATTTTGACAGAACTAATTTCTTTTCTTTAATTAATTTTAATGAACATTTACAGAGATTTTGGATTTATATACATTCATTGTTGCATTTTTCTCCCTGCTCACCCCTCCCCCCAGTTTGTTCTTCTCTTTGAAAAGTAAAAGAAAAATTATTTCACTCGTGTAAAATCCCAGCTACTCACCCCAAGTACACTCCACTATGCAACAATCATTCTGGACTCTTATTGTCATAACCATAATACCCATATATCGTTTTCAAACAGTTCTCTCCCTCATCTGTTTCAATCAGTATACATAATTTATCCAATTTTTCTCAGTCTCTCTCTAATCCTGATGTCAATCCTGTTCTACAATAGTGGCACCATGCAGCATCTGTCCTTTTGTGACTGAGATACTTCACTCAGCATAATGTCCTCCAAGGTCACCCATTTTGAATAATATTGCATGAGTTCCTTGTTTTTCAATGCAGTGTAGTATTCCATTGTGTGAATATACCAGAGCTTCTCTATCCATTGGTTTGTTGATGGGCACTTAGGTTGCTTTCAACTCTTTGCTATTGTGAACAAAGCCGTAATAAACATGGGTGTGCATATATCTGCCGGGGTGGCAGTTATGGTTTCTTTAGGGTATATTCTCAGTAATGGAATTGCTGGGTCAAATGGTATTTCTATTTGCAACTTTTTGAGAGAGCGCCAAACAGCCTTCCATAGCTGTTGCACCATTTTACACTTCCACCAACAGTGAATAAGGGTTCCAGTTTCTCCGCAACCTTGCCAGCATCTGTTGTTTGCAGAACTATTTCTTATGGATGATTTCCATTAACTGGTATTTGCTGAGAAGACACTGAAGGACTGTATTAATTAATACCTCCACCTGCTTTTGATTCTGTGTCACAAAGTAATCATGCATAAAGCATGATCTCTGTAGAGATCACAGTCTAGTAACACTTTGTTGGAAATCTGCATAATATTAACATTACTAATTCAGGGAGGGCAAGAATCATTCATGAGACAAAATGTTAAAACTAAGCTAATTAAAAACTTTAACATACACTTTAATAAGGACAGAAAAGAAAGACAAAAACAGTGTACTGACATACAAAAAGACTTGAGTATTGGGACTTACGGGCAAGACAGTAAGATGGGCCAGACAGGAGTCTAGATCCTCCCTCTACAACCAAGATCAGAAAACAAAGATAACAGATCCAAGTGAAATTCTGGAAATCTCAGTTTGAAAGAAAATGATAAAGTATTTGAAACACAACCTGAAAGAAGAAATTGAATGAATCCATCAACTAAATAAAGAGAACATTGTGAAGGCAGGTGTTGCAACATAACCATTTTTAATTTTTGTAGACTGCTTTCTGATGACTGTGGTAACCCAGGCCTGCAAGAAATGTGCAATCTACCCCATGTTCCCTATATCTCCCCAAGGATCAAGGGAGTGGCTCTTCCCATCACATGGCTATGCCTGGGGTCAGGATTGCACCACTGATATCCAATGCCAAGAGAGCACAGTGCCACATTCAGAGACACCCGTTCTATATCCTGGTGCTAAGGGAATCTGCATGTTTGGTGAAGACCTAGACTACAGCTAGTTCCTAGTCAGAGGCTCCATTGTCAACAAGGATTCCTGAACCAAATCCCTACAGTAGGTTTGCAAAACAGCCTCTGACTGACATCTGCATGTATTCAAACCAGGGTACAACATATAGAGCTGTGCACTCTATTCTTAGGGTGAACAGAGAGAACTGCCTTTGACCATTTCTGGGTTGGCAATGCAATCCAGGGCAGGGGCCCCCAAGGTTTAGTATTAGGTGCACATGGTCCCCACATGGGGAAATAGATGCTCTCTTCCTACTGGGTAAAGGACTGAGCCATCTGAATGGGTAAGCACCAACAATCTGGTGCCAGGTGCATACCCTCTCCACATCCGGAGACATACAGCCTTCTACCTTCCCTTACTAGCTGAGGGATTCCTGACTGGTATCTGTCTCTTGGTTAGGCAAGCAGAAAACAGCTCAGGTAGGGTGCCTGGCTCCTCTACTAGGCTTGCAAAGGTCCTTGACCTGGCAGTAATAGCCCAGGCTCTCCTCATGAAGAATCTATTCTTGGCTGGAAAGGTTCCTCTCAGCCACCTCTCGGAGGAGCTGAGACCCTGAGTGACTTGAGTGACACCCCAAATTTCTTTTGTACTGGCAACCCTATCTCAGACAACACATCTTGCCCCCAACTGCAACAGCACTTTCAAGGATGACAAGTATGCCTATCAGGGGCACAGGCCTTTTCCCTAATGTTCTTCCCATTTTCTCTTTAAATTTCCTACTCCTTTATTATCTTTTCAAATGTCCTTGTTTCTTTTACTTTTATCCTTCTCATGCATATGTTTTGAAAAATTTATTTCTATTTTCCCGTTCTTATTCTCTTTCTTATTTTGAACTCTCTTGATGGCACCTAACAACAACTCAGATTTGGGTTTTTTCTTTCCTTTGTCTCATCGTGATCAGCAAATTATCCAGCTTGCTAATTAATTTTTATGTATACATATCACATCTTTAAACTAAATGAGTACTATTAATATTACTGTGTACTTGACTTGTGATCGCAGATGCGATCACAGACTTGTGATTTTTAAGAACGACTTAACAGTAACTGGTAGTGTGTCGGTGATTGTGAGATTGATTCACGATAGGATAGGGTTCCAAGCAACTATACATAGGGTCATTAAGAGGCACAGGCGACTACAACAACTATCAATCAAAGGTTGGTTCTGTTTGAGACAAATCTTCAAAGAACTTCTAACAATGTATGTTTCCAAAGATGAAATACAGCCCTTTCTGGGTAATAAAGCTTTCTTCCCTTGAACACTCTGAAGGTGCTGGCTAAATGTTCAAGACCAGTTCTTGACACTTTATCCAGAAGTTGTTGTTGTGTGTCATTCAGTTGGAACCGACCCATAGATGGCCTTCCAGTGGGTTTTCAGAGGCAGTTAACCAATTATCCATCTTTCTCAGGCAGATAATCTGGTGGATTTGAACCTCATGCCTTCCAGAGGTCACTAGGCTGGATCTCAAGTTAGTCTAAATGGCTGTCCTCTCATGAAGGACAAGAAAGGATTGAAAACAGAAACTATATTGTGCATGGATTAGGGTGAAAAAAGGTCAATTTCTGTCGGTTCTAGTAGTCATTTTTTAAAACGGCAAGTGGAGAGAACACAGAACACTGCAAACCCTCTTCTGCTCTGTCCTGTTTGCATACCTGAAAATATATCTATTTGGGCACGGGGCGGGGGAGGGGGGGGAGCATTCTTAAGGGGTTTTTTTTATAAACGTGACCTTCAGGAATCCTCAACAGGTCATGGGCCTAGCTCGGAGGTCAGCGGGACCACGCTGGTGTTTGTACGGGCCTCGGCCTCCTCTTTTTTGGTTGCTGTGGTGCTTGGGACTCACGATCTGTCCCGTTTCCTGTGGCCACTGCCCCTGGCCGCCTGACCCGCCCCGGCCCTCTGACTAGCCCTGGTCCGCTGCCGCCCCGGCCTCACCTCCAGCGCTGGCCGTCGCTGCCGCCGCCGCCCTCCTCAAGAATGCCATGGGGAAAGCCGTCCAAACTCCCCGCGAACCCAGGCGGACTGCACCAAGGTGGCCCTGGCGAGGCCGGGGGGAGCTCCGGGGGCGGGCGGACGCGCTGGTGGGCGTGGCGTGCGGGGCGCACGGCCAGCGCCGCTTTAGAAGTTTATTGAAGGAGGAAGGGAGGTCTAGTGGCGTAGAGGCTAGAAGCTGTGCTGCAATCACGAGGACAAGCAGCTCGAATCCACTGGATGCTCCGCTGGAGAAGGAGGAGCAATCTCCCTCCCATGCCAGTCTAATCCGATTGGAGGGTACACAAGAAGAGAAGAGAGAAAAAAAAAAAGGATTGACACAGCAGCCCAACAGCGGAACTGGGCCCAGCAAACCGTGAGGATAGCGCGGCGTGTGGGTCGCAAAGAGACTTCATCGACTCCCCGGTGCCTAACAAGGATGCATTGGGCTGTCTCTAACGGACTGGAGGGCAGTTAACAAGAAGTGCACTGATATTTGCTGTTCTGTTAAATTTGAAGAAACTGGGACACTGATTCACTGTTGATGGGAGTGTAAAATGGTGCAACCACTATGGAAGGCCATCTCAAAAAGTTGCAAATAGAAATACTATTTGACCGAGCAAATCCACTACTGTGAATTTACCCTTAAGAAACCATAACCACCATCCAAGCAGATATATGCACACCCATGTTTAGGCTTTGTTCGCAATAGAAAAGAGCTGGCAGCAACCCAAGTGCCCATCAACAAATGGATAGAGAAGCTCTGGTATAGTCACACAATGGAATACTACGAAACATTGACAAACAAGGAACTCATGAAATACTATGTAAAATGGATGACTCTGGAGGACATTATGCTGAGTGAAATATCTCAGTGACAAAAGGACAAAAAACGGGACTGACATCGGGGTTGAGGGAAGACAGAGAAGGAGGGGAGGAATGATGTATACTGCACTGAAACAGATGAGGGAGAGAACTGCTTAAAAGGGATGCACGATTGGGTCTAATTGTCATGAATGTCCAGAATGAAGGCTGCAGAGTGGAGTGGACTTGGGGGGAGGGATTGCATAACAATGAAAGAGTTTTTCTTTTACTTTTCAAGGAGAAGAGTTAATAGGGGGGTATGGTGTGGGCAGGGAAAAAAGTGGAACAATGAATGATTGGAAACCCTAAATGTCTGTAAACTTTCGTTAAAATTAATTTTAAAAATATGAAGCCAAAAAGAAAAAAGAAGTGCACTGAGAGAGTAAAAGAATTGTGAGGACTTGTCATTCTGTGACTTCTCAGGAATCCAGCCGCAAACTTCGGAGCGCTCAAGATGGGCTTACCTGCTTTCAGGTCTCCCATTGGTTTCCTGCTTTAGGTCTCCCGCCCCTTATCTCTTTTGCCAGAAACTGGAAGGCCAGAGGGCCGGAACTGATTGCTGCGGAACCATCATCTTCAGTCTCAGGTTCCACGTGCGCGCCTGTGCGGGGCGCTTCCTCAGCCAGTCTTCCTGTCCCTGCGGCGCACGTGCGCCTGCGCGGGTTGATTCTTCGGGCTCTCTCCAGCGCCCACGGCGCATGCGAGTACGTGCGCCGTCGCATCAGACGCCTGACACTCGTCTACGCAGCGCCTTTTCGGAACTTCTACTGCCATGGCGGAGCGGGCCTCGCGGATCTGCGCCCTGGACCGGTGTCTGCGAGAGGTTGTTGAAGCCTCCTGCCGCCCCGAGTGTTTCCTCACGTGAGTACGCAGCGCGGGACCGCGCCCACGGCGTAGTGGGGTGCGCACCGCGGCTCCGGTCGATTCGCGAGTGTTGGGCCTGGGAAAGTCGTGCACGCCACTGTCTTACAAGTTTCAAATAAAACTTAATGCCCCCATAAGTTACGAACGTTATAAAAAGCTGTAAAAACTTTACTATGCAGACTGTCCTCCTAGTTGTAGGTTGTTAAGCCTAGCGATTCTCACCCCAGTACTATTACGAGTTGACCAGTTTTCTCTCCCAAAGCACCAAGTGCTTACCCATCGCCATTCAAAGTGATAACTTACCGATTTTTTAGCTATCTTTTAACGACTTACTGGTTTAGAGATCGTAATCTCTTCCCAGCGCAAGGTATTTTAGATGCCTTTAGCGCCAAACTTAAAGCACCTCCAGCTGTATACTTTGAGCATGGTGTCAAAGATAGAGCTATTTTCTGTTCACCTGTTTTCCTAGCCTAGAATCCCGGAGGCGCGTTCCATCCTGTGCTTTCCTGATCCCTGTCGGCCACCCTTGTCTTTCAAGCAAAACAGCTGGGCTGCCTTTCTTTTCCCCAGTTTTACCTTAAATCATTAGCGTATCCTGCCCCTTTTATCCCTGTTCTGTTTTGGATCTCTTCCTCCCCGTCTCTGTTCCTTTCATCCCAGCACATTTCCACCATTCTCTTTGCCTGCACTATATCAACTTAATGTATTTTCACTCTTAATCCGTTATAGACCATGTTACATCTATGTAAATTCATTTTATTCTATCTTAATTCTCGATTTAATGTCCAACATTTATGCTTAAGATAGCAAACTCTTATCTCTCTGCATGATTTGACTCCTTCCTACTTTCTCACGTACCACTTTTTAATTCCATCCACAGTCACCTTTATGGTCTTCATTCTCACCAAACTGGTCCCCTCTTGGAATTTGTTCTTGCTGTTTTTTCTGTGTGAATATACTTTTCTAGATCTTTGCATGACTTACTCTATCTAAAGGTACCATCTCTTGATGTCAGTCATGTCAGAGTTCTTTGACCAATCTAGGCAAAGTGATGTTGATCATTAACTGAGTGTAAGCATAAAATGTAGCAAAGCTACAATCCACCATATATCTCCATACAGATAAATTTATAACTGTTGCTGCTAAATCTATAGTAGATTCACAGATACATCTCATAGCTGACCTCCAGCAGGTTTTCAGAGGCCATAAATCATATAGGAAGAGATTGTTCATCTTGCTCGGGAGCAGTGGCTGATGGATTTGAACCTTGTGCCTTTGAATTGGCAGTGCCACTCATTATCCTTATGCTTTTCTTTATCAGTATGACTTAGTAGCAAGATAGATCACTTCTTGGAGGTTAGAAGCTATACTTAAAATAACATTTTTCAGATTAGATATGACATAAGCGTTTTTTAAAAAATCTGTTTCAGATATTATGTATAAATTTCCTTTAACCTTTTCCCTTACTAGGGTTCAAGATGGATTGGCATCAAACTTTGCCTCTTTAACAAAAGTACTGTATGACTTTCATAAAATACTAGAAGATGGCAGTAACTGTGGGAGTC